TATTCAGCTGGTTTATAATAGTGTTCAAATCATCATCATCATCAGGAATCACAATGGATTTACGACAAGGGGTTTCTTTGTGACATTCTTCACAGGTCCATTTCAGGTACTAGGTATTTTGCAGCGCTGTTATCTGCTTTGCCGTAAGGCCTGTACATACCTGAGTAGCGTAAACTATATGCCCACATTTATTGCTTTCAAGGCCAGGTATTTTTTTATAATTGGTTTATCATAGTTATCGCACTTAGGATTTTTTATATCTAAATAGGATATGTAATACATTACACTATATATTATTTACCAACTGTAACAAACGATGTTTGCATGCAAATAAACTTTTATTTCATTTCCAGGTAAAGATGGCACAGTATCAAAGAAGCTGCGCATGGATGTAAATGTTACTAGCAATGAAGATTCAGAGTTTCATAGTGATTATAGACAGGATAAACTTGAACAAGATGAATTGGATATTAATTGTCAAACTAAGCAATACATTCCTCATCACTTGATTGGCATTATGTATCGATTAGATTTGTCGGTCCTTTGCTCACTAAGAGAGTCTATGTATAAAAATAAATATCCTTTATTATCAATAGCGTTTGGAGATACCGAAATTGATACATTTAATGATATTGTTCTTCGTGATGAAAAGATGTCTATTCATATAAAAATTGAATATGTAGACAAGTACTATGTAAATAATGGTATTAGTTATGCTAGATTATTTACTAAAGAAAAGCGAAGTTTTTCTATCAATAACTATTTTGATAGTTTTGTTAAACATGTAATCTCTAAATCAGATAGTTCGCCAAATAATAGAGAATATCTTATTATATATACTAATTTAGGCTTTGATCTTACAAAAGAAAATAATTTAAGAGAAGGAAAATTCAAAAAATTTTATCCTTTCAAATTTGATAGCATAAAAACAGAAGAAATTGACCTTTTAAAGGACTTCTTGTTTATAAATGACAATACGCAAGAGGGTGGTTTTTATCAATTTGCACGAGATAAAACAACAAAAGAAGAAATATCGAGGAGGTTAGAGTTTTCGTCTGTTATGCAGAAAGTAATAAAAGAAAGAAAAAATTATCAGGAATTTGAAAAAGAAATAAAAGAAGCATTTTTAGCTAAATTAGTATTTGCAGTTAATCAGCCTAATAGAGAAGAGCTGAACAGCATTATTAAAATAGAAATAGAAAAAAATAGGACCGTTAAAGATGATGATTATATAGCATTACAGGAAAGAGTGCTAAGTTATATAACAGCTCCAGAAAAAGATAATAAACTCGAGACTCATGTGTCTAGAATTATCTATGAATTCAATCTATTAATGCTCCTCTTCCATGACATGTTTTTGTATAAAAATATATTTTCCATAAATTATGAAGGAAAAACCCATGATATATGTAATAACATTGCCCTTGATTATAAAAATAAAATTGCTTACGTAAAGGCTTACAATGAAAATGGAAATATCGGTTATAGTCAATTATTTCCCTCTAGACAACAGAGTGTGTTTTCTATTAATAAGTATTTTACTCTCTTTGTTGAAGAACTACGAGAAAGTATAGATTACTTTATTATTTATACTAATGCAAGTCTAGATCTTACAGAAGAAAAGAAGTTAAAAAAAGGGCGATCTAAAGATTTTTATCCTTTAAAATTTGATAATGATAAATCTTTAAGAGATTGTTTGTGCATAAATGGGAATGGTCTTTATCGATTTGTGCAAGAAGAAGCAACAAGAAAAAAGCTTTTAAGTCTATTAAAGCTTCCACTTTCTTTGCAAAAAGAAAAAGAAGAAAGAAGACTTTCCAGTGAAAATGAACAAGAAATAAAAGAGAAATTTTTAGATAAACTAATATTTGCATTCGATCAACCTAATAGGGAAGAATTAAATAAAATTGTTAAAGATGCGATAGATTCATTCGATGTTCCATATAATTATGAAGAATTACATGAAATAGCATTACGTTGGTCAGAATCTCATGAGTTTGGCCCTCTTACAAAAGGAATAATGGAAATGCTTATAGGAGATATAAAAAATAAAAGATCTAGTTGTAAGAAGATTCAAAATAACAACATTAATGAAGAAATAAAATTTGCTAGAAGTGTGGTTGGTAGAGAGGGAATACCTGCATTTAATCAGTTCTTAAATTTTTTAATTACAGGAGAAGGAAAAAAATATCTGAAAGTCATGAAAAAACAAGGAATAAGCTTACCTAATGTGTCCAGTATCTTAGGCGGGGCGAGAGGTAAATCTACTTCAGCATTTATAGGCTTATATGGTCTTTGGTTTGATAAAGAGGGAAACAAAACTCAATATCTAAAAACCTTAGAAAAAGAGGGAATAAATCTAGCTAATATATCTAGTATTTTGAATAGAGCAAGAGGTAAAGCTCCCACAGCGTTTAAAGAATTGTATCACCTGTGGTTTGATGAAGAAGGAAATAAAACTCAATATTTAAAAACTCTAGAAAGAAAAGGAGTAAATTTGGCTAGCATGTCTAGTATATTAAGTGGAGCAAGAGCTAAAGCTTCCATAGCATTTAAAGAATTACATAATCTATTTTTTGATCAAGATGGGAATGAAACTCAATATTTAAAAACTCTAGGACAAGAAAAAATAAATTTGACAAATATGTCCAGTATTTTAAGCGGGGCTGGGGCTAATGCTGCAACCGCGTTTAAAAGCTTGTATAAACTGTGGTTTGATGAAGATGGGAATAAAAGTCAATATTTAAAAACACTAGCAGAAGAAAAAATAAATTTAAGTAATATTTCAAGTATTTTAAGTGGGGCTGGGGCTAATGCTGCAACAGCATTTAAAGGATTGCATGATCTGTGGTTTGATAAAGATGGGAATAAAACTCAATATCTGAAAACTCTAGAAGAGGAAGGAATAGATCTATCTAATATGTCCAGTATTTTACATGGAGTAGGAGCTAATGCTACAAAAGCATTTACAAGTTTGTATGACCTGTGGTTCGATAAAGATGGGAATAAAACTCAATATCTGAAAACTCTAGAAGAGGAAGGAATAGATCTAACTAATATGTCCAGCATTTTACATGGAGTAGGAGCTAATGCTACAAAAGCATTTAAAGGGTTATATAACCTGTGGTTCGATAAAGATGGGAATAAAACTCAATATCTGAAAACTCTAGAAGAAGAAGGAATAAGTCTTACTAATATGTCCAATATCTTGCATGGAGTAGGAACTAATGCTGCAACTGCTTTTAAAAATTTACACAATCTATGGTTTGACGTGAAAGGAAATAAAAAACATCATCTGAAAATTCTTGAAGAAAAAGGTATAGATCTAACTAATATGTCCAGTATTTTAGGTGGATCAGGAACTAATATTGCAACAGCGTTCAAAGACCTTTATGACCTTTGGCTGGATCAAGAAGGAAATAAAACTCAATATTTAAAAACTCTAAGCAAAAAAGGAGTAAGTCTAACTAATATGTCCAATATTTTAGGCGGAGCAGGTGCTAATGCTGCAATAGCTTTTAAAAATTTATATCACCTATGGTTTGATGAAGAAGGAAATAAAACTCAATATTTAAAAACCCTAGAAAAAGAGGGAATACATCTAGCTAATATATCCAGTATTTTGCATGGAGTAGGGACTAATGCTGTAACAGCTTTCAAAGAGATATATGGACTGTGGTTTGATAAAGAAGGAAATAAAACTCAATACTTAAAAACTCTAGAAGAAAAAGGAATAAACCTAACTAATATGTCTAGTATTTTAAATGGAGCAGGAGTTAATGCAGCAGCAGCTTTCAAAAGCTTGTACGATCTGTGGTTTGATAAAGAAGGAAATAAAACTCAATATTTAAAAATTTTAGAAAAAGACGGAATGAGTCTTACTAACATATCCAGTATTTTGCATGGAGCAGGAGTTAATGCTTCTAAAGCTTTTAAAGAACTATTTCATACTTTTTTTGATGAGCAAGGAAATAGAAAACAGTATTTAAAGCACTTTTTTATTGAGGGTAAAGGTGGAGAAAAAAGCTTTAAATTAAGTAATTTATCCAGTATTTTAAGTACAGCAGGAACTAGAGCTAGATATGCTTTTGAAAAATTGCATAATGTCTGTTTTAATGATGAAGGAAAAAGAACAAAACTTTTAGATGATTTCTATAAAGCAGGTTTTAGGCCAAGTAACTTATCCTCTGCATTATCTGGAACAGGAGCTCGTGCTTCTTCTATCTTAAAGAGATTGCATATTGTTTGCTTTAATGAGAAAAGAGAAATAACAAAACTTTTAGATGATTTCTCTAAGGTAGGTTTTAGGCCGGGTAATTTATGTAGTATGTTGAGTGGAGCAAAGAATAACCTAGAAAACATTCTGAAGAGGTTCCATGATTTTTGTTTTATAGAAGACTCAAAAAGATACTTAAATCGCTTCTTAAGCGAGAAAGAAAGTTTTACGCTAAGTAATTTATCTAAGATATTGCATGGAGCAGGAGCTAACATTTGCCCTGCTTTAAAAAATTTTCATGATGTTTGTTTTGATGAGAAAGGAAACGAAACTCAGCTTTTAGGTGACTTTCGTAAGGCAGGTTTTACGCAGAGTGATTTATCTAATATATTATCCATGTCGGGAAATAATGCCACTTTTATTTTAAGAAACTTTCATAAAGTTTGTTTTAATGAAGAAAATTATTTAAATCACTACTTGGCCGAGAAAGAGCTTTTTACGCCAAAAGATTTATCTAGAATACTACATGGAGTAGGAATTGATGTTTGTTCTATTTTTGAAAGCTTGCATGACCTTTGTTTTGATAAAGAGGGAAACAAAACCAAATATTTAAAAAATCTCATCAAAAATTGTCGTTATAAGATATCTGATATATTACATGAACAAGTTAAAAAAGCTCCTCCTACTTTGTTAGATAAACAGAATCTTAGCAAAGAAGACAAAGTAACTAATGCATCGAGTAATTCATCCGGTATAACGGAGCAAGAACAAAACTTGTGTAGTTTACAACAAGGTGGAACAACAACAAAAATTAAGAGGAAAAACCCGGAAGAGTACTGTAAACTGGAGCAAAAACGGGCAAGAAACTGCTGATGTAATAGATGATAACCCTGAAACTTATTTAAGTGATACAATAATAGATAATCGATTATCAAGATAACCAAGTTTTTAAGCATTGGTATATATTCAATAAGACGGTGAAAATTAATTAATTATTGGCTTCATTAAATATAGCAACGTATAGCTTGGTTGGAACCACAGACAAGAGAGAGTGAGCCAGGTGTAGACAATTGGGGATACCACACATTGTTGGCGTAAAAAGCTCTTTCTCGGCTTTTTCTTTTTTGAGCTTTAGGAAGTCCAGCAGATTCAGCTATGAAATCGATAGATACACCAGCTTTAAGTAGATTTTTAGCCACTGCTGTTTTATCCTGTTTTTCGCCCTTTTCTCTTGTCTTTTTCATGTCCGATTTGGATGCCTTCTTTTTTGCCTTTTTCAGTAGCATCATCAAGTTTTTGAGCGAGGACAGCTTGTTCATCAAGAATACATTTTATTTCCTGTTCATAAGCAATCAATTATTTTCTGACCAGTTGAACTATTTTGCTCTTCATAGGCCTTTTTAATTATTAGATCACTACCTATTATTTTTTTCAGCTCTTCTTCACTGGTTTCGTCTGCATATTTAAAGAAGTATATCCATTTTTCAACTATATTTGAATGCTGATCTTCCTTATTCTTTGGAAATTTTGGCAAATCAATAAATCTAAAAGATTTTTATTCAATATAAAAATCTTTTAGATCATGCTCATTAGTGTCTTCATCTCGAATAGTATGCTTTGATTTGAACTCGAACTTATCAGGAAATTATATACAATCTACTATAGCAATAACGATAATTTCCTTTAAGCTTTAGCAGGATATTGGGCACGTTTTTCAAAGCCTTGTATCTTGAAAAAAGCATCTAATGTTTTAAGCTTAAGTGTTAGGTGGAGAAGGGAAGAACTCTGATCGAAGCCTTAGATATAAAATCTGTACTAAAGATAAGAGTTCCCTGCTCAAAAGTATAGGCTGTACGGTATCGTAGAAAGACCTAAAAGGTTCTAATTTTGTATTCACAAGATAAGCCTTTTCTTTTAAAAGTTAAGGGGTTATATATGATCAACAACTTTCTAGGAATAGATATATCAAAAGCTGATGATGTCTTTCTTTCATTCATAAGTAAAAAAGGAAAGCGTAAAACTGGGAAAAGGAGTTTTAAAAATGGTGATCATGGATTGCAAAGTCTGCTGAGTTTTCTCAAAAAACATAATGTGGAAGAAGTAAAAGCTTGTTTAGAATCTACTGGTTGTTATGGTGAAACCTTGGCTGAATTTCCACATAATGCTGGACAATTTGTTAGTGTTGTAAATCCTTATTGCACAAAATACTAAGCAAGAAGTAAGCTTATACGGCAAAAAATGATCAGATTGATGCAGAAATTATAGCTGATTATTGCGAAAAACAAGAACCTTCTCGATGGACTTCACCATCTCCGGAACTGAAAAAATTTAAACATCTTCACCGTTAATGAATTAGCATTAGTAAATAACCACTTAGAAAGAAAATAGAGACTGCCTTAAGAAATTGTAAATGCTTGGGGAGACCTTGCAATGAACATTAAACGAAAAATAGAAACAATAAAAAAATCCTATTAACTACTAAAACAACACAAAGAGTTGTTAGAAAACTTTCAACTTTTATTAACTATTCCATGCATAGGAGAGAAATCATCAATAGCTATTTTTGCTGAAGTTTGCACAAATTTATTGGATACTAGCTGACCCAGCGAACTTCGTACCGCCCTAAAAAATAGTTGTTGTCCAGCGGACAAAATTGTGAATCTAAACCATTCTCAGATCCCCTTGAACACACACAAAAAATTTCATCAAAATCGATCCAGTCGTTTAAGAGAAGTTCAGTGACATACACACTCACAGAAGAATTATATATATAAAGATGATTGGTTAGTGTATATGTTGATAAGTAAATTTCTGCTGTCATCTATGCATAAAACTAATTTACTTATCACAATATACACTAACTTGTATACTGCTATACAGAATGTGAATTGAAAGTATTTTTTAGTTTTACAAAGCAATTAGACAATTTTTATAATTTTTTTGTTGACTTACGAGACGGTATCTTTAGTATCATCTTTTCTTCATGAACGTGGTTTAATGTCAGAAGAGAAGACAAATATAACATCTATCACAACAGGGTTTGACTCTCTTGGTTGTAATGTACGTACATATAATAAGAAACTATTTATTAAACCTTTGAAAGAAAATAATCAAAAACTTCTTATTAAAGCACGTACATTGATTCAACAGGTAAATACTTAAATTTTATTAAAACATTTATGTTATGGGGGTGGATTAGAACATGAGACATCATGTAACCATTTACTCAAAAAAAAGTGTGTTTTACTTGTTTCGTTCGGTAGGTACAATAAATTATAAGTCCATAGTGACTCGTTTTTCAATTTCAGATAGAAACATAAGGTAAACTGTTACGGGCATATTTGAATAGACGATAGGAGAGACACAAGCTCACACTGAAATACTATAGACGGGTTAGGGGCCATCCATAAATTACGTCACACTTTAAGGGGTAGGGAGGGGGTCGACGAAATGTGACATCCTGTGACAAGGGGTGGGAGGGGTCCTAAATTTCGTGACGTCACATTTCAAAATATATTAAAATCTAAGTGTTGAAACTATTACTTTACGAAAGCATTAACAACCCAAACGAGAACAAAGTGGTGCTATGCCAGTTATAAATAATTTAAAGGAGTTGGATCAATGTCCATGGACTCAAGATTATTAAGTTTGTATCTTTAATTAACATAGTCAATCACTTTTTGTTCGGTAATTTCTTTAATAAATATAATTAATCGTTTTTTTTGTTTTGTTAATTGTTTGATTTGATTACAATAATAATGAAAAAACAATTTAAATGGAAATAAAACTGATTACAGAACCGCTGTTTTCATTCAATGATTTCTAAATGTAAATTTGCAAAATATGTGACGTCACACTAGGGAGGGGGGGAGTCTTACAAATGTGACCAGCTGTGACAAGGACGGGGGGAGGGGCATGAAATTCGTGTGACGTAATTTATGGATGACCCCTTATTAATAAACGCATAATAAGCTTGGATTTATTTTATTACTCCGTGTTTTGTCACTGTTCATTGAACGACAAATGGCATTTGAGTGATATGGACAAAACACGACGTAAGTATTCTATAATGAGCTCATTCTTCGTTTATTAATAAGGGCAAAGCATTGGGCTATTGTGCACCACGTAACACACAATGTTTTCAACAGTCTTTTGAATATTTTTAAGAAATGTTAAAAGTATAAATGAATTAATTAATTTACCTTCTGATTGTAGAACTAGAATAATAGATCAAATAAAATTGTCAACACAGGTTCGGGTCACTATTATTATTTTCGGTTATCGTCTGACTTAGTACCTATATGCTTTACAAAACTTGAAGATTCCCATGAACAAGTTATTTATTTTGATATTAACGTTGATGGTGTACCACCAACCAAAAGTTCAGGTAGCCAATTCTGGCCGATTTTAGCGTATCTTTGTTCGGGTGGAAATCCATTCCTTATCACTGTTTGGTATGATTATAAAAAACCTAAACATTATAACGAGATCCTAGAGCCTTTTATAAGTGAATACCTAGACTTGAAAAAAATGGTTTCTTTTATAAAAATGTCGTAACAGAAATCTCTCTAAAAATCTCGCTAAATCATTTATATTATATGTAAAAGGATATAATGGATATAAGGATGAAAACAGACGACTTAGATAGCCTCAATCAGACTATACTCGATTTAAGAAACCATATAAGTAACAATGGTTTTTCAAGGTTACCAAGGCCACTTAATGACCTGGACGGATGGAAGGCAACAGACTATATGCAATTTCCAATGTATCCCGTCTTGTTAAAAGATAGGCTTATAGGATAGGATAGCCTTCACAGTATTCTTGAGTTTGAATTTTGTCGTCAGGGTTTTAAGCAGTTCTACATTTTGTTTAAATTATAATAATTTTGTTAAAGATTTGTTAATGTATTTTGTAAGAAACTATTCTGAACTCTACGGTGAAGAATATGTTTCCCATATTGTTCATGAATTGATAATTTGGCTAATGATGTATTCAATTTTCGTTCATTAGAAAAGTTTTCAGCATTTAAGTATGAAAATTATATATTTGTTTCTTAAGATTTCACGCACATCACTCATTAAATAAAACTAGTTTTTTACGGGTTAATGCACGAAACTTTATTTATTTATTTCGAAAGACTTTCGAAGGTAGCTTGACAAAATTAAATAAAAAATTGATTCCGACGACGCAGCCTGTAAAGTTAATAAATAAATAAAGTTTCGTGCATTAACCCGTAAAAAATAGTTATATTTAATGAAAATTATATGTTTGAAATTAAAAAAAGTAAGTCCCGTAAGAGACCTTTACAACAACTGGTTAATACGGAAAATGAAAACCGTACCTATCAGGTCCAACTTAATTCCGTTATTGACAAAAATACCAATATTGTTTTAAATTATATTACTACATACAAAAACCACTTTTGAATAGTATTTTAGTAAAGGTTTACAAATGGGTTGTGCTTTTGCATTTTAAAAAGCAACCATTGTATTACAAAAGGCAATGTTTTCATTAAAATCGTTAAAATTGTACAATGTCAGGAATCTCATAGTATTTATTTGGTTTGCTTGTGGTATTTTTTAATATGAAAATTATTTTACTCAACCTTATCAATCAAAATTATTTTATGGAGGCGTTGTGAAAACTTTGTCAAATCTATATGAGTTTGTTGCTGTTGATGAAGTTGCCACAAAATGTACCTTCTACAAAAACTATGTCATTACTTTTGTATTAATTTAATGTAGTGTTGTAAAATAATAACTAAAGATGCATGCCAAACTGTAAAAGTAGAAAAAAAATGTTATACTATGATAGTAATGCCGTGCAGTATGTCTAGTATAATCATAATAGTAATTCATCACATTTATTAGCAATTCAAGTTGTTAGGTGCAAATGTAACAAGTCCATGATATTCCGGTAAGGGAATAAATAAAATCCTATCATTCTTATCTTGCACAGCATGCTATACATACCTATTACTAAAACATTTCTTTTTTTTTTTCAAGGTTTATGTGGTGGTAATTTTCTCAACTGGTTGCGAGGAGTATGTATCAGCTGCACCAAAACAATGGCTTAATACTGTTGAAGGAGATATTTCTATCATGTGGCCAGCAAATAAAACATTAGAAAGGAAAACCATTAAATTAAATATGACACCAGAACATGACTGGCTCAAATATGAGAATGTTACCATAGTATATTATGGTTAGTAAAATTATTACTTCGTCACAAACAATCTTTACATTATATTAGAATGTCAATAAAATATAATTTTTTTTTTGGACCTAAATATTATAACAAAAATCACATTAAAAAACGGAAAGCCTAATAGAATTTTCATTTGAAACTTCATTGCTGTCTGTGAACCTTTTTTTAATGTTTCAGGTTACATAATTTTTTACAAGTTTTTATATTTATCTTATATTTACAGCAACACTGAAACAAATCCTTGACGTAGAAAAATATAAACAAATTACTATAATAATAAGAAACCTACGCTCGCAGGGCAAAAGGAAAATAAAAAGTAATAGAAAGTATAGAGAGGACTCAATATCGCCTCTGCCTGAGATTGAAATAACTGGTAAATACAGCTTTTTCATGTTTTAATTTCTTTTCTTTTACTCTACTTGAACAATTTTTAATTATTTCTCTCTTTTATTTCAGAACATTATACCAATACGTTTCCGACAGCAAACGACATTATTAACGCCGAGATAATAT